AAAAAAAAAAAAAAAAAGGAAAGGGAGGAAAATCAAATACCACATGTTCTCACTTATAAGTGGGAGCCAGGCAAGGGGTACACATGGGCATAAAGATGGAAACAATAGACACTGGGGACTCCAAAATGGGGAGGGTGGGAAAAGTATTTATTGGGTGCAGTGTTCCCTATTCGGGTTGTGAGTACACTAGAAGCCCAAACCTCACCATTATATTATACAATATATCCACGCGAAAAAGCTGCACTTGTACCCCTACAGTAAAAAATTTAAAAATAAGTAAAATAAAAGTGAAGATGTATCTCCATCATTTGAAGCACTTGCTCAGCATGGATTCTGCTTTAGTAAGCCTGGGCTGCAGCCCAAGATGCTTGCATTTCTAGCAAGCTCCCAAGTGATGCTGACCATGCTGCCTGTGGACCTTCCTGTGATGAGCATCATGTGTGCAAAATGACGTCTGCAGTAAGAACCCGTTTTCATTTTTTTGAAAGCTCTTAGTGCATAGAATAAACAAAGGAAGGATCACAAAACAATGCGAACTGACATTTTCTCTGGGTCATGGAATGATGTGCATTCACGCTTCCAAAGCTTTCTGATTTCGCATGTATTTTGTTCACAATTAGAAGAAGCTCCAATAGTTTCTTTTAAAGACAAGGTAGTGTGATGTAAATAGACTGGAATTCAGGGCCCAGGATTTGGGGTTATGTTGCTTCCCCTCTCTGAGGCTCAGTTTCCTGACTTGGAAACCTCAAGCGCAAGTGGTTGTGAGAGTTGAAGCAGATTCTATGTGTAAGTTTCTATGCAGTGCCTAGCACACAGAAGGAACTCTTGATGTCAGGACCTGCCTTCTCCACTGCTGGGAACAAGATCTCGTGTCTATGAGGGGCACTTTCTGTCATTTTCACAAAGTACTTTAGCAGCAGTTCCCTTGTTTGTCTCCACATCATCTCTGTGACAGAGGCTGGAGGAGAAGCTATCACTGTAGAACTTGAGAGCAACCTACCTGCCCAAGGCAGCAAGGCAAGTCAGCACGGGTGGCCTAGAACCTCTGTCCCCAGAACACAGCTTCCCTTCTAGGCTCCACTACCTCTAATGTACCCACTGCATGACCCATACACAGGGACCACAGTGGCTGAGCTCTGACCCCAGGGTGGGAACAGGCCCACTGCTGAGCTGCCTGGGACAGGGACAGAGAACTGCGGTGTTTCTGGGCCTGCCAGGAAACAGGCTACGGGATCCCCCACATGATGTGCCACTTAGCCCACCATCCCTCTAAGAGGAAACCTCACTCACTCATGGGGACATTACAGTGTGTTTTTCCTCATGGAATATTTTGAACGTCTAATCTGTTGAAATAACTCCACAATTGACCGGGCACGGTGGCTCATGCCTGGAATCCCAAAACTTTGGGAGGCCAAGGCAAGCAGATCACTTGAGCTCAGATCGAAACCAGCCTGGCCAACATGGTGAAACCCCATCTCTACTAAAAATACAAAAATTAGTTGGGCATGGTGGCACATGCCTATAATCCCAGCTACCCAGGTGGCTGAGGCAAAGGATTGCTTGAACCCCAGAGACTGGGCCACTGCACTCCAGCCTGGGTGACAGAGTGAGACTCTGTCTCAAAATAAAAGAAAGAAATACTCCACAAGTCTGCTACTGGTAAGTTCTTTTCAGCTACATAGGCAGTCAA